ATCATATGTGCTACAAGTTGTGATACGTATAATACTACATCTATAACGTAATTCAGCATCGCCACAAAATGCTTGCACCTCTAACGCTAATGATTACCGTTACCCTCGAAGTTCGGGTGTTCACTGCTGCTGCATCCAGTTCCCGAACTTTACAACTATTATCATAAATCCTGGGACCCAATAAAAGATTAACGAATGATTTTTCGACCGATTCGACCAAGTTTATAATTACGGCAAATTCAAATCGGGTGACTAATATAAATATTATAAGACTACCTACACATGTATCTGGTGGAATATACTTTCAAAGTAACTTCGCTGGCAAATAATTGAAAAAAATTCAGAAGGTTTATCAGTTCGAAAATTGCTAAACAACACTTTTAGATATCTTTTAGATATGTGTTGAAAAACTTTCGTAACACATTTTCGACAAATATTAATAAAATCCTGATTTCTTTGGAATCTCGAGTTACATTTATTAAACCAGTTACAAATTCTTGATCATATCTAACTTTTTTAATCTTAGCCCTATTCGTGCACATGTTTATTCTAAAGGTCTAATTATATCTAGTGCTTTTTTTATATTTGTTTTTGTCAAAGTTTATTGGTTGACTCGAACAGTCTTTTCCATAAGTTTCGTACGTACGTACATATGTACGTACGTATGTACGTACAAACTAAACACACTAAATATGTTGGGCAAGTAAAAATTTAATAATTTGTAGAACAAGTATTGCATATAATAAAATATAAAATATACGTAATATCTTTATACGTTTACCGATCTTGTCGATCAATAACTTATCGAGTCGGCCAAAACATCATTTAAATAATCAATAAGGCTTGGATTACTTGATAAATTGTTCTTTGCTAGTAAAATGATCCGCATGTTACTGTATGTAAATTTTTATTAACGAAACAAAGATCATTCTGGTGTCGTTACAGTCTTAAATTCTTTTTAGAGTAGGTTAGATTTGTACTACACGTTGATGGAATATCGCAGTAAAGAGCATCGGACACAAGATATATTTTTAGAATAGACCTTGTTCAAAAGTTTGTTTCGATAATTCTTTCTAGAATTAAATATAGATAACAGCAATAAATTAATAAATTAAGATTCGAATTCTACAAGTTTGTAGAATTTTGAAAGAGTTCTAAATCACCAAAATTAAGTTATTCATGATTAAAGTTTCCTAGATTCTGTTGACTTCTCAATTATTATCTCTGCTGAATAATAAAATTATTGGGTAGTAAATCGTAGTAAGCTGTCAGATAACTTTTCTTTTTTTTTTTTGTATATAACAATTATATCATAACTTAACTACAACAAGAAAACGATCACTGTTAATTCTACAATGGTAGTAAATCGAATCGGCTTTTGGTCTACTGATATACAGTGATACGATAAGCTGATTTCATCTTCTATACTAACCGGCACAATTCACTACCATACCTAATGTGACAAAACACTGTTAATGAAATTTGGAACATCAGTAAACATTCCTAGTTCTAATAGGTCTTAGTTATTTTCTGATGTTTTCACTGATGGATTCACCGACTTTTAATTCTAACCCAACGCATAACTTAAATCAAGCTAACCCTATCTATCAATTAATTGTCGATAAAATGGTTGCCGAGAAAATGAGATCCATCGATAACTGATATATATTCCGTAATTTAGAAGTTAAAAATTTTCAGACATAATACGATAACTTATTTCTAAAAAACTAAAGGGCGAATTTTTTTTTTTTTTTTTTTGCTTTGTAATTTTCATTGAAAATAAAAAAGCTCTACCACTACAAATGTATAAATTAGTAAATATAGTTAAGATTTTCCTGCAAAATTATCTATAAATGTTTGTAACAGGGCTTCATGCACAAAGACGATATACATACATATGTACAAACACTGAAAAAAAAAGACGATTAAAAATAGTAATATTTTCTCCGGAATTTCATATATGATAATTCAATAAGGATTCATGTTTATTTAAGAGATTAATTCAATCATAAATTCTCATAATTTGAATAAATACTGTACGTACTGTACGTAATACGTAATACATTTGTATTAACAATATAAAAAATAAAATGTATCGGTATTACCAAATACCAACCATTATGTTATTAGTATTGGTACTTACATGTCCAATTGTTTAATTGCGTGTTACCAAATAAAATTTATACATTACCTATGCATCTCTCTCAGGATTTTAATTTCAAAAGTTACTTTTCGTTTTATAAAGTCTTTAAAGACCATATCACTCCTTTTCTTAACTATCATCATCGAGGTTCGTGCCTAAAATAGTCTACCGGTAACAGCCAATAAAACGTGAGTATGACATTTTGTTTAATATTTAAAAAGAATGCTCGAATTATATGTAACTCATGTTTTATTTGGATTAAATTATTTATAATTATGTCAATGTTTGAAACAAAAGTATTTGTAACATTGGCGACCTAATAGATTCATTTTTTCTTTACTACCGAATCATTCCACACCACTCTTCTCGTTTATAAAGGTCAGGAACTACATCAGGGATGTCAGTTTCTAGCACCGCCGCTGCTGCGATGGCCAGTTTGGCTTCTCGTATCGCTGCTTTAGAAAATGAATTAGAAACGGAAACGGTAGACAAAGACACGACTGATAATATAGACATAGACCTTGATGATTATATGGACTCTAACTCCCAAAAAGAAAAAACGCATCTTGATGATTACTATTCAGACCTTAGTTCTCCATCAAATGGTTCTTTAGACAATTTTTCTACTTCTACTTCGATTTCTCGTCATTCGGATCTTACAAAATCTGATCAAAATTATTCTCAACCTTCGGGAGTACTTGATCGTCTTAGTAGTAGTAGATCTACTTCTCGTACTCCTTCTTATGATGTCAGTCAAAGTAAACATAGTACTGTGTTGGATGATTCTTTGAAAGCTCAACTTGAGAAAAAGCATGCTGAAGAACTTGAAAAGGTTAGACAAGAATTGGAAGATACAAGAAATAAACATTGGAGTGAATTGCAAAAATCTAAAAATGATCTTGCTGAACAATATAAAGAAAACGAACGTATACGACAAGAATTATCATTAAAACATGAAAATGAAAAAAATTTATTAAAAAAATCTCATGATGCTGAAAAAGAAAAAATAATAGCTGAATTAGCGACTCTTTCACAGTTAAAAAAACAAACTGAAAATGATC